ATATGAAATCCTCCTGGACCTACTGTAGGTGCTTGCTTCTCTGGGCTTGCTCAGCTCTGCTGAGGACCTTAGGCCAGAGACCCGAATTGATACGTCGTAAATACTCGCTCCCAGTGGCCGAGGGGGGTAGACAAACTGCTGCGAGCTTCCCGATTTGCCGGGAGACGAAGCTCCCGCAATGAGAGCATAACCAAATCCCCAGCCCAGCGTGGAACCTCGGAAGATGGTTTAATGAATCCACCCCCCTGCTGCATGAACCTGCCTACCCAGGGGGGGTCTCATGTAAGTTCCATCTACATATTCGAAGCGAAAACGCTCTGATTTGTACCATTCTACGCGGGTGCTAGCTGACGCGAAACCTTTACAATTGAGACATTTCCTGCCTGTGTCGTCTAGCTGATGGAGGGTCCCAAAAGCGGCACACAGGGAGGGGGCAGGAGGGCGGACAGGCTGGGCTCTGGCTCTCCTAGGCCTTCCTCATCCTACAGGGGCGTTCAGACATTGGGCCTTCTCGAACTCAAGGGCTTCTAGATTGGATCTCAGAAGTCTCATGCGGACGAGGTAGGCGTCATTCTCGATTATCTGGATCCTCTGACGAATGTGTTTTCCAACTCGATGGTTCTCTGCGGCAACGTGGGCAAACTCGTCGGCGACAGTGTTGCCGTAGGCGAAAGCTGCATTGGAGCAGCAGGAGGAGGGGGGCAGACCCAAAGCGCGCAAGGACAGTGCTGGAGGGGCCCGGTGGGCACGCACCGAATGTCACCCCGCGGAGAAGGGCCACTCTTACCCGACAAGCGCGCTCCACGACTCGCAAAGTGGCTGCTCCCAAAATCCGCCGCGGGGGATTCACGCTCCATCACATCGGGAAAGACACTTTTTTTGCAGGACGTTGGCGAGCAGGCACTTTGCGAGCAGTGGAGCGCTCTCGGTGACTTGCGCGCAGCTGGCCCGAGGCCGTCTGCCATGGAAAGCCGCCGGGCAGCGGCCGCGACGCGATCGCGAATCAGCGCGACGGCCTCGTGCGGTGACGACGTGCGCGTTGGCTTCTGGCACCGCGTGGATCGTTCCTAGACGAGCGCGTTCCACTACTCGCAAAGCAACTCCTCGCAACTGGCCTGGACCCGCGGCGGGAGTCCTACGATCCACTACAGCCAGGCAAACACGTGTTTTCCTGACGCTTGCGAGCAGGCACTCTGCGAGTCGTGGAAGGCGCTCGCTGAGTTCAGCCTTGCGCGACCGCGGCTCTCCGAGGTTGCCGCTCGTTCGACGTCGCCCGATGCTTGGGCCTCTGGGCGGCGTGCCGCCTGGAACGCCCGCGCAAGGGGCCGCCGGGGTTCCGCCGAGGCGGGACGGACCCTGCAGTATACCCAGCGGGTGCTTGCGCTCCGGCTCCCTCCGGCTCTTCGGTGTGAGGGGGGGATGCTGCGAGGAGGGGATTTATTCCCAGACATGATCGCGTCGTCCAAAAAAAACAGGGCGGGAGGTTTTTGACAATTTTCGGCCTCTCGAGGCCCTCGCCGGGCCCAGGGAACGTCAAAAAACGACTCAGGATGACAAACTGGCCCCAGGGAAAGGGTACCCTTTCCCTGGGGCCGGTTTGTCATCCTGAAAAATCAGGACGTCGCATGTCTGGGTCCCGATCCACCGCCTGGGAACCGACGTCCTGGTGCCCCGGCGGGCGGTGGACATGGACATGGATATATATATATATATATATATATATCTCTCTCTCTCTCTCTCTTGGCCCCCGGTGGCCCGACCATGTTCATGTCCACCGCCTGCCGAGGTCCCCGAAGATTGATCCTCCAGGCGGTGGTCACGTAGAAACTCCTGCCTCGGAGGTGCCAAGCCTTGGATTACGGGCGAGGGGGCTGGGGGCAGGGAGGCGGCTGCGTTCTAAAAAGTTGGGGGGTCCGCGGTGAAAGGTGAGCTGCCTCCTTCGGGCGAGCAAAAACGGCCTCATAAAGTGAAACAGCCGCCCATGCGGGCCAAGCCGTACTAGGTGACTGTGCGTTCGTGCCGCATGGCGGCGTCCGTTACAGACCAGCTCCCGTGGAACGGGGGCACCGGTTCTCGGGGTCGGCCCATTCAGGGAAGGAACAGCCCTGACAATGCACACGTGCACCCTTCGAACCGGCGAATTAAAAAGCTAGCCTACTTGGCAACGGACTCGGCCATCCAACGCAAACTGGATGCACACTGTCGTGGTCTTGCCCATATACCCACTCCGTGGTGATGATTGTGCTGATGATGACGACAGTTCCCCCTCCCAGAGGGCATCTGAAAAAATTATGGCAGACAGCTGCCTATAAACTCAAAGCGGATGACTGACCATCTGTCTGAAAGTCTGCTTCCTAGGCTTCCCTAAATTAATGGGCGTTCAGGCCTGTACACCGGGAGAGCTGATGAGAACGGACTGAGCGAGCGGCTGCGAGGATATGACAAGTGTCTCTCTGTACACACTGTGCATATATGTCTAGCTTTAGGTGTGTAGAGATGT